AGTAATAAAATAGACAAGTGGGACCTCATCAAATTAATGAGCTTCTGCAAAGCAAAAGAAGCCATCAAGAAAGCAGGGAGACAGCCCACAGAATGGGAAAATATATTTGCCAACTGTTTATCCGAAAAAAGGCCTAACATCTAGGATCTACAAGGAACTCAAATGCGCCAAAAGGAAAAAAAAAAAAAAAAGCAGCCCCTTTAAAAAGTGGGCAAAAGACATGAATAGGCACTTCTCAAAAGAAGATATATGGGCAGCCAACAGACACATGAAAAAGTGCTCAGCCTCACTCATCATCAAAGAAATGCAAATCAAAACTACAGTGAGATACCACCTAACCCCTGTAAGAATGGCCATCATTAATAAAACAAACAACAACAGATGCTGGTGAGGATGTGGAGAAAAAGGAATGCTTCTACACTGCTGGTGGGAATGCTAACTGGTGAAGTCCCTTTAGAAGACAGTCTGGCGATTCCTGAAAGAACTAAAAATTGACCTTCCATATGACCCAGCAATTTCCCTATTGGGAATATACCTGGAGGAACTCAAATCATTCTACCAAAAAGATACCTGCACACGTATGTTTGTTGCAGCTCTATTCACAATAGCAAAAACATGGAACCAATCATGTTGCCCATGGAAGCTGGACTGGATAAAAAAATGTGGTACATATACACAATGGAATATTATGCAGTCATAAAGAAGGACCAATATATGGACTTTGCAACAACTTGGATGGATTTGGAGTCGATCATGTTCAGTGATTTATCACAGAAACAAAGAACAGAGTTCCATATGTTCTCACTCATAAGCGGACCTTGAACAATTATAATGCTATAAGAAAGCAACTGGCAGTAGTGGGAAACTGTCAGGGAATGGGGAGTGGGATTGGCAGCTGAGGGAAACTGCTAGAGAGAGGGAGGGGCATACCTCATCAACAAGGGTATCTGCATGATCAATGTTTATATACCTAAACCTGAAATGTACCCCACATCTTTATAATAAAAATTAAATTTTTTTAAAAAATTACACTTAAAAAAAACCAAAAACCAAAAACCAAAACAAAACTAAAGACACCTCAACGTAAATGTTATTTTATATTTCTCCTGGGAGAATAATAATTCTGGAACAGTTCTGTTAAACTTATCAGCTTAATTTGTAACCAGTGGATGTCAAAGGTCAGGGAAGTGATGGGAATCTTTTAATAGTATGATTATTCTCCATTTTAGCCAGAATGAAAATAGATATTTATCTAATTCTGTATATACAAATTATTCCTATGTTACACAAATTCTTCCTCTGGAAGATTTAGCACATCTTTCTTTTCCAAACATATCTATTTAATACCCTATGGTAGATATATTACCAAACACTTGGACCATTCAAATAACTTTCTAAGAGGTTTAATTTTTAACCTATCTTTTCTGATTCAAATTTACTTTAATATCACTTCAGATTTATCTTCCTAAAATTCTGCTGGATTAGTTCACAACCTAAACTGCTGCTTCTGTCATTCAAAGCCTTCCCAATTTGACTTTCTGATATTTTCCATCACTAGTGCTAGAGATAATATTTTTTTGTGTGTTAGCTTGGTTGTTATAGTATCCGATTATTTAATCATTTCTAATCTAGATGTTGCTGTAAAGTTATTTTGTAAATATAACTGACATTTATAATCAGTTGAATTCTATATAAAGGAAATTATCCTTGAGAGACTGGATGGGCCTGATCCAATCAATTGAATGGCCCTAAGAACAGAACTAACAGAACTGATGTTTTTCTGAAGAAGAAAAATTCCTACTATTCCAGATACTGTTCTATCACTTCATCTAACTCATTTATGTCTATAAAAAATCTAGTGAGAAATTACTATTATTATCATCCTTATTTATAGAGAAATAGCCATAGGAATAGAAATGTTCAGGGATTTGCTCAAAGACAACGGGATTTGCTCAAAGATTTGCTAGTAAGTGCTGGAGTCAAGATATAAACCAAAGCAATCTAGGTCTAGAGTGTTTATTGTTTTCCATTTTGCTACTATTTCCTGTACACATAGATATGGTTTTCAAGTGGCAAACATGGTAACAAGAGATACAGAACATCTTTAAAAATAACTCTACTTAGAGGTCAACCTGAAAAGTGCCACAAACAAGGGAATTTAGAAAAAAAGTTACTCAAATTGTTTTCATACTACTTGGTACACATTCAATATACATTATCACTCATGAGGCCATATTAGTATAGACAAAACCAACCTGCCACGTTTTACTGACCCCAGTCTGGGAAGATGTTTCTGCATCCTACACCTCATGAAATATGTCTTACAGTTGTTATGCACCTGTGAATTAGCACAGGCAACTTTTTCATGTAGACAGACAAGCAGATAACTGGCAGAGTAAAAGGTAAGTTCTAATTATAATATAATATTTCAATCATTTGTAAGTCAGTTTACCAAAATGAGGAATTCAATCATATAAGAATAAATAATCTTGGAGATTATAATTGCATCTCGGAGAATATAATTCTATTCTGATTGATAATATTATCAAAAGCTGTACATGCATTTAAAAATAGTAGCAATTTTTAGATGAAACATTTTTATGTATGTTTTATATAGTTTATCAATAGCTAACATGAAGATAATCTATAGAAATGATGAATAATATGAACTTAATTTTCTCATTCCATTAACTAAACTTCTTATACTAAATCATAGCCATCAATCTTCATGTTCACTTCATAGGGAAATTCAGAAGCATTGTTGTGATTTCAAGTATATTAGCTTTACAAAGAAAAGATTTTAGAGCATTTTCTTTGCTGGGAAGTCAACAAGAAAAATAGAGTTACTGCATTCTACAAATCTTACGGCTAAGCAACAGCTCTGGCAGAAATTCTAGATCTACTTTTTGAAGTTTCTTCTGTTGATTCATTCATATTTAGACCAGCATTCTTGATCTTCCCTACTGATTACCATTACTTTTCTTCTCAATAAATATTTTTGAACTTTTTTCCTGAAATAATTCCTATATCTAATCTCATTGTATCCCAGTATAGAGTTTAACCCATAGACTCTGAAGTTCTCTTACAAAAATATGGTAATTTTGTATTCCCCCATGCTGACTTCAAAGTTCAGGTGTTTGAATTTGACCCACTCTCAAATTTCCAATCCCAACTTTTATTAATATTATTTTATTTAAAAGAAGTAGAGTACAATTCAGGATTAGGTACATAGGGGGTCGACATACAGGTGAGGTTTGGGCCTCCCATTGATTCTCACTTCACCTGGTTTCCAACCAAGTATCCTTACTGAGGTCATGTACCTCACTCCCACTCCCCTGGCAGTGTCCTGCTACTGCCAATACCTTTCTTGTAGTATTACCATAAACGCTCAGAGTCCACTTATGAGTGAGAACATGTGGTACTCAGTTCCTTGTTTCTGTGATAGATCACTGACTCTTTGAAAGGATAAACAAAATTGATGGACCCCTAACCAGAATGACCAAGGAAAAGAGAAAAAGCCCAAATAAACACAAGTAGAAACACAAAAGATCAAGTCACAACTGACCCCAAGGAAATACAAAAGATTATCAGAGATTACGATGCATACCTGTATGGAAACAAAATTTAAATGAAATGGAGGACTTCCTGGTATCACACAATCTCCCAAGGCTGAAGCATGATATTGACGCTTAAATAGGCTAATAACAAACCGGGAAATTGACTCCACCACTATATAAAAAAAGACCCTAGACGAGATGACTTTCCAGCAGAATTCTACAAAACATATAAGGAGGCACTGATATCAATCCCATGGAAAGTATGCCAGGCAATCGAGAAAGACAGAACTCTCCCCAAATCTTTTCATGGAGCTAACATCACACTAATACCCAAACCGGGCAGAGACCCAACAAGGAAAGAGAACTACAGGCTAATATCCCTGATGAACATAGATGCAAAAATTCCCAATAAGATTCTAGCAAATCGGATCCAACAACATATCTCAAGAATTATCCACCATGACCAAGGAGGCTTCATCCCTGGGATGTAGGACTGGTTCAACATCTGCAAGACGGTAAGTATAATTCAGTACATCAATAGGTGTAAAACACAAGGAGACTATCTTTAGCAAAACTGGCTGACTACATGCAGAAGAATGAAACAGGACCCTCCCTATCACCATACACAAAAATCAACTCTAAATGGATCAAAGATCTAAATGTAAAACCGCAAACTATAAGAATCTTAGAAAACGCAGAAGATGCCCTTATAGACATGGGAATAATTCCAACTCTTTAATTCACTTTTGTCTCTTCCAAATTTTGACTCAAATTTCTTTGAAAACTATTACAGTCTTGGTGTTCACTAACTACAAAATAGCACCTCTCTTCAAAATCCCTTTTGTAAAATCTCTTTTGTTTGTCTAGTTTTTCAACAACAACAAATCAAATATCTAAAGACATGAATTATAGGCTGATACTTCTACTTCTCTATTAAAATGTAGTAACTTAAACAAAAGAATTTTTTAAAAATATTTTTTTCTGTGCCATAATAGTCTACTCTTAATAGTTTAATCTTAATAGTTTAAGCTTTGTTCCTTTTTTTCTTGAATGATAATTATATTCACTAAAATTACAAATCATTTTTCCCATTTCCAGGCTAGTTTTTATATTTAATTTGTGCAATGTAACGTTAAAATGTTTTTAAAGAAAATTAATTTATTACTTGTATGATTATATACAGGCCACAATATTGCAAATAATTTTAACAATAGTCAGAAATCACGTGAAAAAAAGATATATTTGACTTAAGTAAAAATTAAAAAGAAATTATTTATTTTGAAGAGAAAAATAATTTCCCATACCATAATTATTTTATTCATGTAAGTTTTTTTCAGGAATCAATTACTGGGAAATGTCAATATACAAGCAATCTTTCAAAGATTAACCATGAATTAGTAATAATACTATAACAAAATAAAGTAATATATAAACCATTTTTACCTTTGCATTATAGGGAATAAAATGTTTTGATAAAGCTTCAGGCGTATGCATCCATGTTTTGTCTGCAATAAAGAATAAAGAGTGTTAAATTTAGTACAGGTTCTTATGCTGTCATATTCATGACAGCTTTTGCAGGGCATCTGAGATCAGTGGGAGCACTTCCAATTTTGAGACTCTTTGCCAAATTTGAGAAATAGTAACCAGTCAGATAGAAGAACAAAGGAGAGAGTGATTAATGGATACTTTCCTTGGTATGAAAGTCCCTAGTTTTTCTTTTAAAAAATTTCAAATAATACAAATGTTCTGGATTTTTGAACAATAAACAAAAACTACATCAGTGGGCTATGAGTAATTATATAAATTATATGAAAAAATCATTCTTTTACTTTTCCTCTCTAGAATTACAAATTCTTTTTCTTTTTCTTTTTTCTTTTTTTGAGTTGGAGTCTCACTCTGTTGCCCAGACTGGAGTGCAGTGGCCGCTCCCGGCCACCGCAGCCTCGACCTGCTGGGTTCCGGCGATCCTTCCGCCTCAGCTGGAACTACAGGCACGTGCTACCACACCTGGCTAATTTTTTGATTTACCGTAGAAATGAGGTGTCACCAAGTTGCCCAGGCAGGTCTCAAACCCGCAGGCTCAGGCAATCCACTCACCTCAGCCTCCCAAAGTGCAGGATTACAGGCTGAGCCACCGAGCCCGACTACAAATTCTTTTTCTTAATTCCCAGACTAATAAAAAGTAATCTGCTTTCTAATTCATTGTAATAATTATATTTCAACATCAAGATTGAAATATTCTAAAGGCAAATTATCTTATTAAACTAACATCTGCATCTGTATAAAGCTGATATAAGCCAATTCTTATTTAGAAATCAATATACTATTAAGACAAAATTTATTCTAAATTTAGAGAAACATTTATTGAAGGTATGCTATCAGGAGATTTGGGTATAATTAATCCTAAATGAAGTAATTTAAAATTTTACTTAGACAAGTGTAATGAAATTTCAGAAATAAAAGTCATTCAAAAAATAGAAGATATTGACACTAATTGTATTATATATTATCTATATTTGTGTTATTTATATTTTTCACTTAATCTTTGAACTTTACTAACGTACAAGGATGGAAAAAAAGTGTTAATGTTTATACAAAGCTACTGGCTAATTTTTTAATATATTTTAGAGACAGGTCTCACCAAGTTGCCTAGGTTGGTCTAGAATCCCTGGGCTCAGGCAATCCTCTCGCCTGGGTCTCCCAAAATGCTGGGTAAACTGACTTTTTTTTGAAACTGCATTTGTTTGAAGTAAAACTTCTCAATCATCAAATACACTTTGTCTCCATTAATGCAATTTTGTTTGTATTTTATTTCTCATGGGTGTTAAAAAATTGTAATCAATGCTATAAATAGAATAAAATCATGAAGAATCCATAGATTGGTACTATTTCTGACGACTGGAGTGAATAAGTGTTAGCCATATTTGGGTAAAATAATTTGAAGAGCAATGCCTTCTAAGCTTCGAAAAATACTGACATTTAACATGTGAAACCTGTATTTCCTGTACGGAGTTTCATTTTAATTATGCTTTTTATGATTGTTAATAAATATTAATATGCTTATTACAAGAATAACTTGTACTTCAAATAGGGATATAGTCTTGCCTTTTGTATATTAAAAGAAATCACAACACTGTTCACCAAAACGCTAAAACACCAAACACTTGCCTTTAGGAAGCCTGAAGATATTCAAATTTTCTTTTTACCTTTTCACTCAATTTTTCTCATGTCTTCTTTCCAAAATATATGAGACTTCTCAGGAAGATTAAAGTCTGACTACCAGGTACCCTTTGTGTTGCCACGTACCTGTGACATTTCTTTCTTCCTCCCTCGCAAAGCAGTGCCCAGAGACTACTGATTCCTCCTTTGTGCTAGTAATATAGAAGCCCAAATGTCACCTGCATACAGACTATTTACGTAGTTAATCCTCACTCGTATCCCACATCTCTACAATGAAATAAAATTTCATTAAAAAATAAAAACTGTGCACACGCACATACACAATGAATTTTGTGAATGTAAGACTCATCAGAACTGTGGGAGGTGCAGCAATTACAGTTAAAATTCTTATTTCTCCCATTTTTAGTATGTTTGCTTAGTGTGCTTGTAAATTCTAACATTACTTTGTATTTGTCAGTTTTAAAGTTTTAAAAGTAACTGCATTTTTAAAAAAGTCTGACTAAAGTCTCAGTTTGATGGCTCATATCAATCCTGGTACAGAGATAATTATTTTCTCCTGTAAGCTACTATTATTTGAAAAGTGATAATATTGCCTCTGTCACAGTCTCATGTTGCAGTGACCTATAAGGTGGGTGAGTATTTGATGACAGACTTAAATAATCACAATATTAAGTTCCAGTGGATAAGGTGCAGTAATTACGATGACAAAATCAGCATTAACTTGTCAAGTGCTGGTGATTTAGTGGTAGTTCATTACATAACCTCTAGTAAAGGCACGCCATTTCAAAGTCTGAAGGATTTCCAAAATGATTTCTTACTGTCATCCTAATTTATACTTTGGCAAAATAAAAAATGACAGAATAAAACTCTTCATATTAACTCTTAGAGATATGATTGAATCTTGAGGAGGAAATACACAATGATGGCTCTTGGTCACTATATATGACCACTGAAGCAATTCACTGTATGGAGCTAACACAGAAATGGGAACAAAGGCATTTTAGAAAGTATTCTCACCTTTCTTGAAATTAAACAAAAATCACTAACACAATATTGAATACTTACATGAGAGGAAATGTCAACATTTCAAAATATTTGACAAATATCAAACTACTCTGCTGTGTCAATAAATTTAGGCTTCCAAAATTCATTTAGATTAAGAGTTCATCAAGAAAGATGCAGTAACTTCATTATTTTTTGTATCATAGGAGTTTACCATGGTGAAACACCTACTTTGAGTATATTAAATTTAAAACAAAATACTGTTGAATGGATGCATTTGAATAAAATCTTTACCAAAAAGAAAAACAATTAACTATGAATTTTATTTTATTTTATTTTTTGAGTTGGAGTCTCACTCGGTCGCCCAGACTGGAGGGCAGTGGCCGCTCCTGGCCACCGCAGCCTCGACCTGCTGGGCTCCGGCGATCCTTCCGCCTCAGCCTTCAGAGTAGCCGGAATTACAGGCATGTGCTACCACACCCGGCTGATTTTTTTATTTATTGTAGAGATGAGGTCTCACTGCCCAGGTGGGTCTCGAACCCGCGGGCTCAGGCAATCCACTCACCTCAGTCTCCCAAAGGCGCGGGATTACAGGCTGAGCCATCAAGACCGGCAACTATGAATTTTAAGCGCTATGCATTATGATTGTATCTATTCATCAGAATGTCAACTAAATTAAAGAAAACTAAATGTAATTAGTTGAATTATTTAATCACATTCAGATGATATGTTTTATGCTTTTTTGCTAAGCAATGTATTTCTATGTAATAAATAGAATGCAGAATTTTTAAAACTAAAAAAGAAAGCAAGCATGGGAAAAGAATCAAAAGAAATTCAATCATTAAAATTTAATCACTGACTATATTAGTCTAATTTTTAAAGAGTTTTTCAAAACAGCTCAAAATGATATGACTCCAATATATTCAGTCCTTTTCAGAATCTTTGAGCAATTCTAATACCATTAGAGTATGTGCAAAGAAAATCAGTGAAATACTTGGCTCATTTAATCAAAGAATACCAACTTACTAATTTGGAGGTTTAATAAAAATAAAAAACATTTTTTAGATTTAAGATGATTTTTCCCCCCTTAAGCTTCTGAGGCCCAGGATCATTTATTTAGTAAGGTTGCATGCAATGACCACCTAAATTGGGTATCTTTGAAATAAAAAGATGAGCTTTTAGTGACTGAAGATCAACTTGCTTTATTTAGAATACTGAACACAGTGTATGAGGATGCTAGTTTTTTGAAAATATGACTTGCATTATATACTCTCTAGTGATACAATTATAACTCCAAATTGTCAGGGTGTACGAACTCTCTCAAAAAATTCAAGTTTCCATCTCAAATTAAATCGTGCCATTGGAGAAAGCCTGGATCAGGGCCTCTAAGAATTTTTTATTTAAAACCTCACTAAATGAAAAGTCAGCGTTGAATGATGAACTTAAGGTAGAACTTTCAGGATCAAGTTCTAACTTGGAGCAAAATTCTGATCAATGATTTCCTGATAGGTATATTTAATCATTAGACTTGAAAAATAAACTATGTTGAAAGAAATGAAATGAGACTGAAGCAAATCAGGAGGTAAGTGCTTCTTGAATCTCCAAATCACTCCAATTTCCCCCACAGTTGTATTCTCACTGTGCTCAAATGAGACAGATATACAATTGCTAGCTACTCAAATTATTATTCAATCTTTGAATTTATCAATGAAAAACAACTCTAAATCTCCTTTATGTAAATAATAAATTGCAAATGTGGACTTCCAACCTCAAAACCACAGCAAAGAAAATTGCAAGTATATAAAAAGATAAAGTTTAGAAGTTTTTTTTTTAAATAAGATAGTGTTTTTAAAGTAGTAAGTTGTGAGGTAAAGTTTCTATTGCTTATTGATATTAATATTTTAATATATCATAGAATTATTTCTAGACTTTGTTACTAGTAAAAGTAATAAACGGAAACATTATTTCACATTAGGTATATGTTTTAAAATCAGAAGATAGAGACTACCGACTTATTCCTCTTATTCAGAAAAATAAGTTATATAATACATTTCTGGCTTTTGAGGGTTGACAGTGGCTTAAAGGTCGCATTATCTAAATTCCTACTGAACTAATTAATCTTCTGTACCACATTCAAATGTTTGAACACCTCTCACTTCAGGAACAGGGGGAAAAAGGGTAGTAATTTGCGTAATACCATTAAACTTTACATGATTTTGTTGGAATTTTGTTTCCTATATTAAATCAATGACCTATAACTTACAACTATTTGTCCTTTATTAAACTCAGTCCTATGGCAAAATGGCAAACCTTCAAACACAGAGAGACAGCTCTCATTACCATATTAAAAGTTTTTAGCCATGCTTCCTCTTGCATGTTTGAAAGCCCTGAAATCACCCCCTAGGTTTCTTATCTGGGCATGTTACATTGTGTCATTTAACCCTTTAACTCTTTAAAGAGAGAAAATACAATGCCTGACCACATGGAACTGAACAGAACACCCTAGTCTATGGGTTGGAATTATTCATTATCTCTATGTTAGAAAATAAACTGGAGCCTTTGATAATCACATTGTTGATTTTATCCATAAGTCATTTTCTACCCACACAGATCTTAAGATGTATTGTCCAAATAACAGCAATATATGAATAATGATTAAAAATGAGATTTTCTGGACTCTTGCATTTATTTTTCCCCCCAAAACTGTAATCCTAACATAGCTTTCATCTTTTCCAGCTTTCAGTCATTTCTGAATTTGATTAGCATTGTTTACGTATTCTCTCCAAATTCATTGATAACATCTTAAACAAGAGAGAGCCTCATGCCTTCCACCAGAAAATTCCTTTGAGAATTAAAAGAATTAATTATTTTAACTTCACTTAACTAGACAAAGCTATCTAACTTTTTCTTTCTTTATGAGCATATCATGAAAATAGTTTGTCAAAAGCCATGCTTTACTGCTCATTAAAAAAAAAAAAATCTAACTAGTTGTTTCTTTCAGTCCTAAACAGATAATTATAATACATTGCCTTTATTTTTATTTTTAATTTCCATCATTTAATTAATTCATTTTGGCATCACTGCTAATCAGTTCACCATTGACCAATTCTCATATATTATTCAAGAATACATGAAGCATGTGTGCATACAAACACATACACACACACTTACGAATAAATTTATGTCACTGTAACCTTATGTAAGCCCAGTGAATTTAGTATTCTATGGCTGCATAAGAAAAGTTAGGACTAGGTTTCAGGTCATTTAATTATTTGCAGTTTCACAGCATAGCATAAAATTGCCAGAGAACATATTATATGTTGTGAACTCAGTGTACTAAGCAAGTTTGATCTTTCATTAGAGTGATAAACAAAGAAAGTTAATTAGCAATGTTTGCAGAGGTATGTTGCTCTAATCTAACTTCAGTCCTCGGCCAGGTGGTTTGATAGTAAGAAAAACTGATTTCTTTACATTCCTGCTTTATGTTCACAGTAATATTGATTTGACTCTGAAATCCTTTAAATGAACACACTCACCTTTCTTCCTGCTAAAAGCACGGTTCATGGTGAGGATTAGAAGACAGATGTGCAGTTCAATCACACTTTATATCCTGTAAAAAATGAAAGAAGATTCAAACATAAATGAAAGACTGTTGACTGACCTCTTTTGTGTTAATGCATTTTTAATCACAAAGCTTTTAAAATTTTTAATAAATATATGCAAACAATATTCTAAAGTGTCCCACAGAATACCAGGTAAGAATAAATGCAAAAAATTATATAAGTAGTAGTAGCAGATGAAGCAACGTATCAGCTGAAATGCCACCAAAATTCTTGAATTTTGTATTTTCCTATTATACATCTGCCATTAATTATTCTTCTCTGAAAATTTAAGGAGAAATTTACTTTTTCCTGAGCTGGTTGGTAAGAGGTATACTCAAGTTTGGGGTTATCATGAATAGCAGTGGTAGATAAATAGTGGTAGATAAAGTATTTTGATTACGTTGAGGAAAAAATATTTTTAAAAATCCACTCATACATCTAAGCACTTATTTACTTTTTATGAGGCCCAGAGAGGCTTCAGAATTATTTCAAAATCGCAAAGACGGGTCATGTATTAGGAGTAGTGGTTAAGAATATGGTTCCACTGAAGGTTGCTTTCCAGATTAAACTCATAAGCTTAGTGTAAGCCCAATTCTACATGCTTCCATCTTCAGATGACAAGAGAACCATTGAACTCTGGGTAAAATCTTCCCTACTCCTTATCCATTATTCCCCACTCCCTGCTCATCATTGCCCAGAGGTCTCAGCTGATGGGAGACAGAGAAACCAAGAGCTCTACATGATTCTGGAAATGCCTTCTCACATTTCACTCTAAGACTCAAAGACTCACCACCACTTCATGCTGAGACCTTCATGATAGTTTTATCAAGTCCTTTATTCCTTTATTCTAAGTCAACTTAAGAAGCTCATGTCATTCTCATCATTCAAACTCTGATCTTAATGAATTACATTCTGTGACTACATCTCTCACATCTCATCTTCTGGAAACATTTTACTGCATCATCTGGCATTCACAGGAAATCATTATCAAAATGTACTTGGCAGTTTTTGAAGATTTCCTCAACTTTCTTCCTCTTAAGTAAACCTAGTTTTTGCCAGAGGAAACTAGTTCTCCTGAATTGATTTCAAGAGGTTGTCTGTTTATCTCACATTCATATTATACCACTAGATCAAGAAGTTATGAATCTTCAATTATTGTACCTCTGTTCTATTTCAAAACTCCCTATTTCTTTCAAGATTATGCAGACTATATATATTAGATATGCAAGAAAATACAATACAATAGATAATACAATATGTTCTGCATTATCCCAAAAGTCATTTTTTACCTATAACCTACTAGATCTGCTTATGTACTAATCATATCCTGAAGGAATAAAGAAAGGTAAAAAAAAAAACCAACAACAAGCAGAAAAGGGACATAATGCATCCAAATGTAAGGTTTAACTTCTCTGGGAAAATAAAGTAAACAAATTCTGAGCAGTTTATTAAGCAGCAGATCAAACTCATCACTATCAGGTAGATATTTTCAACACTAGCAGATTGTATATAAAAAAGGAATTAGGATTTCTGGCAAGATGGCAATGGGGCAGCTTGGTCTGTGAGACCCTCTGCGAAAGAGAACACATATAAAGACTCTAGCTCTCTCCCAGGGGCTGCAGTTCCCATCATCGGCAGCCTGCTCTTCACACGGAGCTCAGCTGCCACCACTGCTCAAACATCACAGCAGTCTGGATGGCCACTGCATCCGCGCCACCGCTGCAGCCATCACCCCACCCATGCCTGAAGTGACCCACGACTTCAGACCATGAAGCCCCTGCAAGCAAGATCTACTGAGATCGCCGCCGCTACCACTGCCACCATCACACCCTGCCTCTTGCCCAGAGCCAGGCTCCTGGAGCTCCTCCCATGTACCATGGGCAGCTGCTGCCACAGCCACTCCCATTGCCAGCTCCCTCCCGTCCAGGGCGAGCAACTGCAGATAAAAATCATCTGAAGTGGTGAGATAGCCCCACCAGCTGGCAATTCAAGGCAACAACACGGAAATGGGAAAAACAGAAGCGTAATAAATAGACACAGGCCAGATTTGAGTGGTGAACTGGGCAGGGAGACCAGATGTGAACTGTCCTTCACAGTAGACCAGGGGCAACTGATCATAAATGTGAACAAATCTACCAGCCTGCAAAGACAGCTAGAAATCAGAGCTGAAAGGACACTGGACTTAAACTAAAAGTCTCAGAGTGTGTTTGGTTGGTTCTGTTAGTTTACTGACTTGATTCTATTCCTTTTGTTTTGTTCTTTTTTTTAAGTTCTCTGTAAACCCCATTTTTGTACAGAGGAATAGTACACCAATCAGGAGGTTGGTTAGCTTGTACGTTAGCATGATTGTATGTTTTAGTTTTTTTGTATGGTAGTTGGTTAGTTTGTAGTCATGGTTTATTGTTTTTATCTGTTTCAGTTTTTGTGTCTCTCTTCATTTGTTGGTACACTCATCTGTTTTCCCTCTTACTCCTCTCTCTTCGCCCCTCTCTTCCCTCGATTGCCCGCTCCATTCTCTTCCCTCTGTTAACATCATTTTGCTTTCAGGGAATAAACCTACAACCCGATTGCACGGACAGATTCCAAAGCAGTGGGAAGTGGGTTTCAGATTATCCACACACCTGTCAGCGGATACCAGGATCTGCAGATAGATTTTGAATCACAGCTCCCCCCCTTAAGTAAATGTCAAAACTGCAAAAAGGACCACTCCTAACCTACAGTCCAACTCCAGAATTGAACAAAGCAAGAGGATATACATAAAGAAGAATAGGAGACTGAACAAACAGAAGTAAAAGCAACCCCTCCACCCCTGAATAAATAAAGAAGACAGGGAAGTAGAGGGAAGGGAAAAGTAGGGAGGAAAAATCTGCACCAATGAAGAAAAACCAAAAGAAGAATACAGGGCTCACACAGACCCCTGGGAGGTCAGACACTGAGAAAACAGACTTTGGAACACAGACAATGAAGAGACCCCAGAATGACTGGTCACATGCAACAAACCCAGACATCAAGACATTAATAGAGAGAATAAAAAAAATTAAAGAGAGACAAGAGGAAAACAGGAAGGAGCTGATAACAGAAATAACAGCAGTAAAGAATACTGTGATGGAAATAAATAACAAACTAATAATCATGGAAAACAGAATTAGCCAAGCAGAAGAAAGAATCTCAGATCCTGAAGACCAAAACACAGAACTATCCAGAACTGTCAAAAACATAGAAAAGAAGCTTAAAAAGACAGAACAAAACCTTCAGGAGATGAATGACTACTTCAAGAGAAAAAAAAACCTAAGAATAATTGGCCTTCCTGAGGCAGAGAGAGACACAGGGGCCACACTGGAACAAACATTTCATGAAATCATTCAAGAAAACTTCCCTCATCTCATCAGTGGTACAAAAATTCAAACACAAGAGATTCAAAGAATGCTTACAAGACAACAAATGAGAAGACCAACTCCCAGACACATAATAATTCACCCAAACAAAGTAGGTATAAAAGAAAAAATCCTAAAGGCAGCAAGAGAAAAAGGTCAGACTACCTACCAGGCTAGGAGAGCTTGGAGCCCTATCTTTAAAGTTCTAAAAGACAAACAATTTCAACTGAGAATAACCTACCCAGTCAAGCTAAGCTTCATCAGTGAGGGAGAATTGAAATCTTTTATCCAATCCCTAAGAACCTATGCTGCCACCAGACCACCTCTACAAGAAACACTTAAGAAAGTATTGAACACAGAAGAAACGGAAAAAAGAACAAAAACGTTCTTCACAAGAGTACAGGCAAAAGATTAAAAACACACATGAACCCACTCCAAAACCAAAAGAAAGACAACACACAAACAGGAACAACAACAAGAACTCTGTAAGAACCTTATGATAGGGATCAACTCTCACATTTCAATAATTAGCATAAATGTGAATGGGCTAAATGCATCATTGAAAAGACACAGAATGGCAAAATGGATAAAATATAACCAGGCAACAATCTATTGCCTTCAAGAGACTCACCTCACTAGATAAGACACTCAGACTCAAAGTAAGAGGATGGGAAACAAATTTTCAGGTGAACGGAACACAAAAGAAAGGAGTCACAATCTTTTTTTTTTTTTTGAGTTGGAGTCTCACTCTGTCGCCCAGACTGAAGTGCAGTGGCCGCTCCCGGCCACCGCAGCCTTGACCTGTTTGGCTCCGGCGATCCTTCCTCCTCAGCCTTCCGAGTAGCCAGAATTACAGGCGCGTGCTACCACACCTGGCTAATTTTTTGATTTTATTATAGAGATGAGGTCTCGCCTGCCCAGGCGGGTCTCGAACCCGCGGGCTCAGGCAATCCACTCACCTCAGCTTCCCAAAGGCGTGGGATTACAGGCTGAGCCACCAAGCCCGGCTCCCAATGATATTTTTAAAAGGAGTCATTACCATCCAATAAATAATACAAACTTCTCAGAAATTTATGTTTCCACCTTTCCATATATTCACCTATATATATACCTAATTGGACACTTCTGCTTCTGGTCAATATGGAATAACTAAAGAAACTCACAGAAGATCTTTCTTACAATTGAATTACATATTGATTAATTATCCAAGGCTTTAAGAGAGAACCAATTACAAAGTTTAGAGAGAAAAGTTCCTGTAGTTCACACAAGAGCCAATAGCAAGGGAGGAAATTCGTCATTCACAGGATGTAAATTAGATTTATAGGAAGTGTCTCACATTATTAATGGATAAAGAGTAACACTAGATTAAATGCTGCTTTGGCACCATCTAACAATTTTTTTAAACAAAACCTCCCAAAATTAAACCTTTTCTAAGGAACTCTACTGTATCCCAAAACTATGCTCAAGAGTATTTTAAAGAATATTGAGCACGTGGCATGGTAAAATATACAAGATCTGGTATTCTATTTTTAAAAAATCATGTATACAAATAAGTAGAAAAATATAGTCCATAGAGAGGAGAAGAATCAATAAAAACTGATCCAGAAATAGCAAAAATAGTAGAAATGGTAGGCAAG